TCTGAGTCCGCACGTGCTCCCACTTAAGCTTCCGTCTGCACGGCGCCAACCACGTGTTCCCCCACGCACACCTGTTGCCCCCAATTGCCCTCACTCACAGAGAGACTTGCGCAAGTTTGCATCGTGCATGCCCTTGCACGACCTTTCCACAAACTCACAACCTTCCAGCGCTCGTCCCTCGCTACACTAGTATGGTCCATAGTTTAGGCCACATGGCCATAATCGCACTGTTGTGGCTTGTCTTTAATTGTTCATTCATGATGGAGACGTGTGCATCGACCTGTTAATGTTTGGATGCGGCTGATGGTTTCAAATAATACAAGATTCAGACAGTGACGTTAGCAAGCTATTGCTGGGCTCTGATTGTATACGTGAAGAGAGATACAAAGGCAGATACGACGAGAGATACGACGAGAGATGCGACGAGAGATGCGATGAGAGATACGACGAGAGATGCGATGAGAGATGTGACGAGAGATGCGACGAGAGATGCGACGAGAGATGCGCTGAGAGATGCGACGAGAGATGCGATGAGAGATGCGACGAGAGATGCGATGAGAGATGCGACGAGAGATGCGATGAGATGCGACGAGAGATGCGACGAGAGATGCGACGAGAGATGCGATGAGAGATGCGATGAGAGATGCGATGAGAGATGCGACGAGAGATGCGACGAGAGATGCGATGAGAGATGCGACGAGAGATGCGGTAAGAGAGACTTCCTTATCTTTTTATTTCTTACGGCTGCTGACGTACAGTGATACGGTTATCTGGCTTGATAACAACCTGAATGTGAAATTGTAGTTGTGGCTGTGCATCTTCTTGTAGTTGGCCACCGGGTTTGCACACATCTCAGGAGGGATTTTGTCCCACTCCTCTTTGCAGATCTTCTCCAAGTCATTAAGGTTTCGAGGCTGACGTTTGGCAACTCGAACCTTCAGCTCCCTCCACAGATTTTCTATGGGATTAAGGTCTGGAGACTGGCTAGGCCACTCCAGGACCTTAACGTGCTTCTTCTTGAGCCACTCCTTTGTTGCCTTGGCCGTGTTATAGACTGATCATTTCTTTGTCAGTGGGCAAACATACAAAATCAGCAGGGGATCAAATACTTTTTTCCCTCACTGTACTACCACTTGATTGTATTTTCCAACAACAGTATTTGAAGGGTGTTGTCATTAAACTCGATTTGGTGCTTTCGTGACTGCAGAAATTCATCTTTGGTTTTTTCGGTAAAGTCACGTAGAAATAAGAAAAAATAAAATTACATAATATACGACGTTTCGATTGCAACACAAGCAATCATCATCAGGTAGAGGAAACACATAACCGCAGATATATATACAGACCTTGTCATTATTAACATATATTAATTCAATCTTTATTTAATAAGTATTGAGATATGCCATTAATATATTCATATAAATAGCATACTAGTTCTGAAATATGGCCCACAAACGTTGGAATAGTGGTGCTTCCAAAAGGAAAGCCAAAAAAGAAAAGGAGGCAAGAGAGGCAGTTTTGCTTCAAAGTGTTCCACTCATTGCCAACTTCTTTCAAAAGCCCTCTGACAGTAATCACGATGACAGCAGCAGCACTATTGTCACTCCCCCAGAGCCATCCTTTGAAGGTGAACCACCAACAGCTATTGGTGTACAAGAACCATCATTTACACCTCAGGAGCAGTTGGGCAGTTCACAAGAATCAAATCAGCAACCAAGCCATTCCTGGTGCTGAGGTCACTGACCCTGCATTATGGCAAAGCACTTCCAGTGACATTGTTAAGTCAGTGCTTATTGAAAGAGGAGCAGTCCCCTTTCAAAACCGCAATGAAAAATACCCAGCTTCAGTCCGCGATAGAGCGCTTGGTAAAAAGACTAGAAGTTTCAACAATTAAATTCTGAACTGTATATTGCCAAATAGGCAGAAGGTTTCTAGACAGTGGCTACTGTATTCACTCTCAACAGGTGTGTACTGATTTAAAGCTTTCGTGACTGCAGTAATTCATATTCTTAGTTTTTTCGGTAAAGTCACGTTGAAGGGAAACAACAAAATAATAAAATATATATAAAACAATAAAAAATTCTCACGACGTTTCGACCATAACTTATAAATAAATAAATGCGCCGTTTAAAAATACATTTATGCAAACCAACACACCTGAAGACGACCGTTTGAGTTATGGTCGAAACGTCGTGAGAATTTTTTTATTGTTTTATATATATTTTATTATTTTGTTGTTTCCCTTCAACGTGACTTTACCGAAAAAACTAAGAATATAGGTGTGTACTGCTTTGCATGCAAACTGTTCTCCAGCAAGCTCGGTGGCTTTAGTCAGGGGTTTGGTACTAAAAACACTCTGAAAGAATAGGGGAACACGAAAAGAGTGCCGACCTCAGATCATGCATGCTTGCCTTGCACCAGCGGACAAAGGGCAGTGCTTTAGATGCAGATCTCATTCAGCAACTTGATGGGGAACGTAAATACTGGAGGGACATTTTGAAAAGAGTTGTAGCAGTGATCAAGTTCTTGGGTGAAAGAGGACTTGCGTTTAGAGGAGATGATGAACGGTTTTGGTCAACCCATAGCGGTAATTTTCTTGGTATCCTAGAATTGCTATCACAATTTGACCCATTCTTAGCTGAACATATTAAAAGGTTTGGCGGAAAAGGAAGAGGCATGGTGTCATATTTGTCATCGACAATATGTGAAGAACTCATTGAGCTAATGGGTCAGAAAACTCGCCAAACAATAGCAGAAGACATTCGGGATGCCAAATATTTTTCAATAATTGTTGACTCCACCCCAGACCTGTCACATGTGGACCAATTGACGTTTATATTCCGGTTTGTTAACAGCAGCGGGAATGTGGTGGAGCGATTCCTGGGCTTTGAACCAATTGAGAGCCACACTGGTTAAAGTTTAGCAGACTGTGTGACTGTGAAGGTGGAGGGCCTTGGGTTGGACCTCTCAAACTCTAGAGGTCAGTCACGTGACAATGCATGCAACATGTCAGGAAATACAATTGGCTACAGGCCTACCTGAAACAAATAAACCCTCTGATAGAGTGTGTGCCTTGCGCAGCGCATTCACTTACCTTAGTTGGTGTTGGCACCTTAGACGGCAGTAGCCCAGAGGCTGACGAGTTTTTTAACATGTTGTAGTCACTGTAGATATTTTGCTCTTCATCCACATACAGATGGGGGAACGTCTTTCAGAAGACAGATGTCAGACTGGCATTAAAACCGTTGTTCAGTACTTGGTGGAGTGCTCGGGCAGAGTCAACCAATGCACTGTGGAGAAATTACACCCACATGATAGAGGCCTTCGGTGGTATGTGCAATGATGATAATGAGAAACGAGATACTCGAATTGAGGCCGCTGGACGATATGCTAAATTGGACACCTGAGAGATGGTGTTCATGGCCGGTTCCACGCTACAAGCATGCACCTACAGAAAAGTGACATTGACATCTCTGTAGCAGCACAGCTTTTGTCTTCGTTGAGGGATTTTGTGGAGGGAGAGCGAGACCAGTTTGAGGCTTTTGAAAGGGCAGCCTTAAATGTGACAGCTCTTTCTCAGTCATATAAGCACAATCTTCAACGAAAGAGGAAATGCAAAACATTTTCAGATGAGAGCTCAGAGCCAGGTGTGACACTTGAGGGGAGGGAGATGTTCAAAATAGAAACATTGAATGTGGTTATTCATAAGCTCGTGGCATACCTTGAACATCGCTTGGACGCTTACAAGCGTTTGACCAGTCTCTTTGTAGTTCTGTTAATGTCAGATCAGGTGTCTAACAGTGATTTAATCGTAGAAAAGGTAAATTCACTCTCCGCTGCATATCCATCAGACCTGGACATGAACTTTGCCAATTAACTCATCCAATTCAAGTCTTTTATGTCTGACTCTGAGGGTGAGAAGTGCCCCAACTAAATTGCTTGAGACGTTGCAGGCACTTCATCTGCAGTCAGTGTTCCCCAATGTTTTCGTGGCACTTCGGATTTTTCTAACTTTGCCAGTGACAAACTGCCAGGGTGAGCGGACATTTTCTCTTTTAGGCAGAATAAAAAAAATGAACTGCAGAATTGCATGTTGCCAAACACGTCTCAGCTCATTGTCACTTATGGCAATATAGTCAGACATTGTCAGACAGCTAGATTTTGACGATCTAGACACCAATATAGGACAGCGGGGGGGGCTCCAAAAGACGTGTGCCCAGGGATTTTATGGGACCATGATCCAGCCCTTCTGACCGTGTGTGCACTCCGTGTAGGGAAGCGGTGGTGTTGTGGTTAGCGCACTTCGCTACGAATCCTGCTCGCAACCAACATCGATTACGCATACCTGAAACGGGTCCTCGGTCTCCCCCCAGATAAACTCAGCCTTAAATTAGTAACTGCCTGCTTCGGCATGTTAACATGAGCACTGGGAAGACAAAGGCAGCCGTGCGTGTCCACCCACCACCCCGTGCACCTTCCCGGCCTTCAGAGGGGAGGAGATCTTTGTCTCTGTACGTCGGGTAGGGGATTGGAGAGGGGAGAAGGGGGAGGGTGAGAGAGGGTCAGGGAGAGAGTCAGGGAGAGAGTGCGGGGAGAGAGTGCGGGGAGAGAGAGAGAGGGTCAGGGAGAGAGTGGGTAGAGAGAGGGTCATGGAGAGAGTCAGGGAGAGAGAGAGAGTGCGGGGAGAGAGAGCGGGGGGAGAGAGAGTGCGGGAAGAGTGGGTAGAGAGAGAGAGAGTGGGTAGAGAGAGAGAGAGTGGGTAGAGAGAGAGTGTGTGAGCATGCCTGAGGATCAGGGCGAGAGGGAGGGAGGAGCGGAGACGTGGGCTGACTGGCTTAGCTGGGTTGTAGGTGGGGGTCTGTGGAGGAGTTGTGAGCGTGTGTGTGCGTGTGTGTGTGTGTGCGTGTGTGTGTGCGTGTGTGTGTGTGCGTGTGTGTGTGCGTGTGTGTGTGTGCGTGTGTGTGTGTGTGTGCGTGTGTGTGTGGGCGCGTGTGTGCGTGTGTGTGTGGGTGCGTGTGTGCGTGTGTGTGTGGGTGCGTGTGTGCGTGTGTGTGTGCAAAGCAATGGAGAGGAGAGCAGGGCAAGGGGTGGGTGAAGAGACGCGGACGGGATGTGATCGCAGGAGGAGGATGATGCGGGGAGAGGGGGGAGGGGGGGCTGTAGGTGGGGGTCTATGGAGTGGGTGAGCGCGTCCGATCCCCTTGCTCGGTTCGCGTGGCTGGAGGCGGCAATCCGGGCCTGAAGCCGCCCGCGGTGATTGTCGCCTCTGGGGAGGGGGCTCGCGGTGGTTGTCGCCTCTGGGGAGGGGGCTCGCGGTGGTTGTGGCCTCAAGGCGGCGAGCAACAGCAGCAGGAAGGGATCCGCGGTTCCGCATCGAGGACCTTGGAGGCTTCAACCCTCACGGCGCTGCCTCACGTCCACGCGACACATCGCTGAGAACGGTACGGGACACACAGACAAAGATCCCCCGTGTAGCCTTCGCAGACTGTTGGGGGCAAGTGCTGTTAGCGAGCGGCACCTGTGAAGGCCGGCACGGCACACGAGGGCGTGAGTGGAACAACACCAACACCACGCCCGGCCGCCTTTGTCTTTACACAGAGCACCGGGTGCTCGTCTGAAGCTAAATCGACCAAGGGGAGGCCCGAGACTGGTTCACAGACGACTCACTCGTGGTCTCACACACACACATACAGACACACACACAAGAGACACACATACAGACACACACACATACAGAGACACACACAGCCACACACACAGAGACACACACACAGCCACACACACACAGAGACACACACAGCCACACACACAGCCACACACACAGACACACACAGCCACACACACAGACACACACACACACAGCCACACACACACAGTCACACACACACAAAGACACACACAGTCACACACACACAAAGACACACACACATACAGACACACATACAGACACACACACAGTCACACACACATAGACACACACACAGAGACACACACACAGAGACACACACAGAGTCACACACACAGCCACACACACAGAGACACACACACAGTCACACACAGCCACACACACAGTCACACACACACAAAGACACACACACACAGACACACACAGTCACACACACAAAGACACACACACTAATCATACATATTGGTCGACGATCCTCAACAAAACACAACCACACACACATGCATACCATTACACGCACAATTACACACGGTGCACCGCACACAACATTACACACACAGTCGGGTACAAGAGGCAACAACGATAACCTCACACTCAATCACCCACTTACATTTAACAACTTACAATTAGACAAAGACACCCACCCGTGTCGCCTTAACAGACTGTTGGGGCAAGTGCTGTTAGCGAGCAGCACCTGTGAAGGCTACCGGCACTGTGGCACACGAGGGGGTGGGTGGCCAGCACCACGCACGGCCGCCTTTGTCTCCCCAGTGGCGATGTTTACTACACATCGCACCGGGTACACATTTGAGGCCGAATCGACCTAGGGGAGGCCCAGGACCGGTGCAGATAATCGTCACTTGGTGTTGGCCGTGATCGGGAATCGAACTCGGGGACGCGGGGTTCGTAGCGCAGCGTAGCGCTAACGGCTGCGCCACCGTTCCTCACAGACACGAACACACAGACACACACCAACACACAACACACACAACACACCAACACACACCAACACACAACACACCAACACACACCAACACACACCAACACACAGACACACACCAACACACAACACACACAACACACCAACACACACCAACACACAACACACCAACACACACCAACACACACCAACACACAGACACACACGAACACACAACACACACGAACACACAACACACACCAACACACAACAGACACACACCAACACACAACACACACGAACACACAGACACACACGAACACAACACACACGAACACACAACACACACCGACACACACCGACACACACAACACACCAACACACACGAACGCACACGAACACACACCAACACACACGAACACACAACACACACCGACACACAGACACACACGAACACAACACACACGAACACACAACACACACCGACACACACGCACACACAACACACACCGACACACACGAACACACAACACACACCAACAGACACGAACACACAACACACACCGACACACAACACACACCAACACACACGAACACACAACACACAGACACACACAGACACACAAACACGACACACACCAACACACACGAACACACACGAACACAACACATACCAACACACAACACACACCAACACAACACACACCAACACACACGAACACAAACACACACCAACACACAACAACACACACCAACACACAACAACACACACCAACACACACCAACACAACACACACCAACACCCAACACACACCAACACACACGAACACACGAACACACACCAATACACGAACACACAACACACACAACACACACGAACACACACCAATACACGAACACACAACACACACAACACACACGAACACATAACACACACGAACACACAACACACACGACACATACGAACACACACAACACAGACACACAACACAGACACACAAACACAACACACACGAACACACAACACACACGGACACACACGACACACACAACACACACGAACACACAGACACACACGAACACACACAACACACACGAACACACAGACACACACGAACACACACAACACACACAGACACACAACACACACAGACGCACAACACACACAGACACACGAGCACACACAGACACACAACGCACACATACAAACAACACACACAGACACACAGACACAAACACAGACACACAACACACACAGACACACACAACACACAGACACACAAACACAACACACACGAACACACAGACACACACGACACACACGACACACACAGACACACAACACACACAGACACACAACACACACGAATCACAACACACACGAACCACACAACACACACAACACACACAGACACACAACACACACAGACATACAACACACACACAAACACACACACAGACACACAACACACACAACACACAGACACACAAACACAACACACACGAACACACAGACACACACGACACACACGAACACACACAACACACACAGACACACAGACACACACGAACACACAACAGACACACACAGACACACACGAACACACAACACACACAGACACACAACACACACAGACACACACGACACACACGACACACACAGACACACACGAACACACACGAACACACAACACACACACACAACACACACCACACACAACACACAACACACACAGACACACACGACACACACAGACACACAACACACACAGACACACAACACACACAGACACACAACACACACAGACACACACGACACACACGAACACACAACACACACGAACACAACACACACGAACACACAACACACACGAACACACAACACACACGAACACACAGACACACACAACACACACAGACACACACGACACACACAGACACACAACACACACAGACACACAACACACACAGACACACCCGGGTGTTCGCCACCAGGTGTCGGTGACGTTGGCCACGGCGCGTGTGCCAGGATAGGTGTCCTTTTGAGCCACGTGAAGTGTCGAAGGCTCGCTGCTGGCTGAAAGTCATGGCACAGGCCCAGGTGCCATGCGTTGACTGAGATGACTGACAGATGTCTGTGTGTGTTAGAATTACACACATACACACAGACACAAAGACAAATATCCTGCGTATAGCCTTAATATACTGTAGGAGCAAGTGCTGTTAGCGAGTAGCACCGCTGAAGGCCGGCACGGAACACGTGGAGGTGGGTGGCCAGCACCATGCCCGGCCGCTTTTGTCTTCCTAATTACGCTGCTTACACTCTGTGCCAGTTACTCATGTAAGTGCACACGCAGATAACACAGAGAGATCACACGCAGATCACACACACACATAGATCACACAGATTACACATGCGCACTGATCACACACACATAGATCAGACACGCCTTGATCACACACATAGATGACACAGACACATCACACACGTAGATCAGACACACACATCACACACACCCTTATCACACAAACACTTTACACACTTAAATCGGACACACAGATCACACACATACAGTGTGGAAAAAAAGTATTTGATCCCCTGCTGATTTTGTACGTTTGCCCACTGACAAGGAAATTATCAGTCTATAATTTTAATGGTAGGTTTATTTGAACAGTGAGAGACAATAACAACAAGAAAATCCAGAAAAACGCATGTCAAAAATGTTATAAATTTATTTGCATTTTAATGAGGGAAATAAGTATTTGATCCCCTCTCAATCAGAAAGATTTCTGGCTCCCAAGTGTCTTTTATACAGGTAACGAGCTGAGATTAGGAGCACACTCTTAAAGGGAGTGCTCCTAATCTCAGCTTGTTAGCTGTATAAAAGACACCTGTCCACAGAAGCAATCAATCAATCAGATTCCAAACTCTCCACCATGGCCAAGACCAAAGAGCTCTCCAAGGATGTCAGGGACAAGATGGTAGACCTACACAAGGCTGGAATGGGCTACAAGACCATTGCCAAGCAGCTTGGTGAGAAAGTGACAACAATTAGTGCGATTATTCGCAAATGGAAGAAACACAAAAGAACTGTCAATCTCCCTCGGCCTGGGGCTCCATGCAAGATCTCACCTCGTGGAGTTGCAATGATCATGAGAACGGTGAGGAATCAGCCCAGAACTACACGGGAGGATCTTGTCAATGATCTCAAGGCAGCTGGGACCATAGTCACCAAGAAAACAATTAGTAACACACTACGCCGTGAAGGACTGAAATCCTGCAGCGCCCGCAAGGTCCCCCTGCTCAAGAAAGCACATATACATGCCCGTCTGAAGTTTGCCAATGAACATCTGAATGATTCAGAGGACAACTGGGTGAAAGTGTTGTGGTCAGATGAGACCAAAATGGAGCTCTTTGGCATCAACTCAACTCGCCGTGTTTGGAGGAGGAGGAATGCTGCCTATGACCCCAAGAACACCATCCCCACCGTCAAACATGGAGGTGGAAACATTATGCTTTGGGGGTGTTTTTCTGCTAAGGGGACAGGACAACTTCACCGCATCAAAGGGACGATGGACGGGGCCATGTACCATCAAATCTTGGGTGAGAACCTCCTTCCTTCAGCCAGGGCATTGAAAATGGGTCGTGGATGGGTATTCCAGCATGACAATGACCCAAAACACACGGCCAAGGCAACAAAGGAGTGGCTCAAGAAGAAGCACATTAAGGTCCTGGAGTGACCTAGCCAGTCTCCAGACCTTAATCCCATAGAAAATCTGTGGAGGGAGCTGAAGGTTCGAGTCGCCAAACGTCAGCCTCGAAACCTTAATGACTTGGAGAAGATCTGCAAAGAGGAGTGGGACAAAATCCCTCCTGAGATGTGTGCAAACCTGATGGCCAACTACAAGAAACGTCTGACCTCTATGATTGCCAACAAGGGTTTTGCCACCAAGTACTAAGTCATGTTTTGCAGAGGGGTCAAATACTTATTTCCCTCATTAAAATGCAAATCAATTTATAGCATTTTTGACATGCGTTTTTCTGGATTTTTTGTTGTTATTCTGTCTCTCACTGTTCAAAACAGGTCCCTGCAGGGTGGGCTGGTAGGAACATTGGAATTCTTCACTTCGTTAAAGTATTGAAAGGGGACGGACGGACGGACACATTAATCTATTGCAGGCTGGTACACTCAGTTTACAACTTCGTTCCTACCAGTATAAACCTACCATTAAAATTATAGACTGATCATTTCTTTGTCAGTGGGAAAACGTACAAAATCAGCAGGGGATCAAATACTTTTTTCCCTCACTGTACTAAAAACAAAGATCCCCCGTATAGCCTTAACAAACTATTGGGGCAAGTGCTGTTAGCGAGCACCTACGAAGTCCGGCACGTAGGTAGGTGTGTATGTATGTTGAACTTCTTTTGCACCGTATGTAGCCAATCGGAGGTGCGGAGGGGGTTGGTGGCCAACACCACTCCCAGCCGTCTTTGTCTCCCCAGTGCCGATGTTTGCACACTGCAACAGGTACTCGTTTAAGGGGGCCGCCCATAAATGACGTCACGCACCTGGGGGGGGTTCAGACATTTGTGACGATGTGTAACGAGGGGGCTTGAGAAATGTGACGTCACATCAAAATGCGCAACTTTAAATAAATATAAACACGTTCTACTTAATTAAATAGACTTGTAAAATAAATATTTTCTCTTACAACAACAGAGTGCAGCGCCACATTAAATACGCACTACAATGACAATAGTTTAAAGCGATTTGAAGCATGTTTTATATTTTTTGGGGGGGGAGGGGCAGAGCTTTGTGACGTCATATTTGAGGGGGGGGGGTCTGACTTTGTGACGCCGTGTGAAGAGGGGGTCAAAAATCGTCCAAAATCGCGTGACGTCATTTATTGACGGCCCCAAGGCTGAGTCGACCTAGGGGAGGAAGGCGCAGGACGGGTTCAGACATTCGCTGCCACGTGAGCTAACCACTGCACCACCGCTCCGCCCAAAGCCACCAATTGCTCACGGACGCCTGCGCGGCTGCGAGTGGCGTCGACTACTCGGCTTTATTGCAGCCGGAATTCTCCGGGGCTGAGCTCCAGAAAGTATACACCGCCCCCCCCCCTCTCCGCTGTCGGGGAGGTGGGGGAGGGGGTTAAGGTCCAGGGAGGGGGTCACGAAGCCTCAGAAAATGTCGCGCTTGACAACTTAATCCCCGGCTAGCAGCCAGGGGAACGCGGCTTATCGTGACATCCAAGATGCTATCAGAGAGGCCCTCCTATTTTTGACCCAGAATATGAGACCAAATTAAAAAAAATGCGTTTGATAACAATCTTATTCACCTTGGAAAGCACAGAAAAACACCACCACCATCATCAGCCATGGTCAATCCACTGCTGGATGCAGGCCGCCCCAAGTCGCCGCCCCCACGACCCTCTCGCGGTCTTGCGACGCGACGATCCCATCCAGCACCCGCGATACGGACTGAATTCATCGCTCCGTCTCCTCCGCAGCGGACGACCTCTCGGAGGCGTTCCATCCCCCCGGGCTGCCGCTCCGTTCTTAATCTCGAACATCGTCCCCCATATCCGTCACGTGCCCTGCCCAACAAGCCCCAACTCAACTTTTCCCCCACAGTTGGACTGATCGGAAAATCTTCAACAATCCACGTGTTCCTCTCTCGCTGTATTTCCATTGTAAACGTAAAAATATAACCCTCTTGTTTGGAAAGAGTGGGCAGTGAAGCATGGAGAGGTACGCGGCACGAGGAACACATGGGGGTGGGAGAGCACACGGCCAGTTCGAGACATCAGCTGACCGACGGAAAGTTAGGAAACGTAAGACGAACCACGGAGTGGAAGCCAAGGGAGCACGCTGCGTAGATGGAGCGATTGAGCCCGATGGCGTGTAAGTGTGGTGTTATTGTCGACCCCCTTATCACACTCAATGGAGACAAAGATCCCCCGTGTAGCCTGTGACAGCCTGTTGGGTCAAGTGCTGCTGCTAGGGAGTAGCAGCGCCTATGAAGGCCGACAAGGCACATGAGGGGGTGAGGTAGGGGGGGTGGGGTGGCCAGAATCACGACCGGCCGCCTTTGTCTCCCCAGTGCTGATGTTTTACACACCGTACCTGGGGAGGCACGCGACCGGTTTAAATATTTGCTGCTGATGTCGCCCCCGACGACACGGCCCATTGGCGTACATCGGTTAGCACCGCGGTGCGAGGCTCGGCGCCTCGCACCATCCACCGTGTGAGCTCCCCTCCCTGGCCACGCGACGTTCACGCGCAGTCACGGCACCGTGCGCTCGCTCGGCACGACGAGACGAGGTCAGCCACCAGCGCCAACTCGGCCCCGGTTGTACGGGGGGCCCCGTGGGATGTTCCCAGTCGACCTTGGGGGGGGGGGTTCCTCCTCTGCAGCACAGCTTCAGCTTACAATCACTCGGCTGCCAAAGGCCCCGTTGAGCCAAAGCAGCTCTGTTGCCACGACGACCACGGCTCAAGACCTTGGGCAGTGACGGTATCGCAGTTACATGGAGATCCGTAGAGTTACGTGGAGATCCGTAGAGTTACGTGGAGATCCGTAGAGTTTCACAGAGTTACACAGAGATCCATAGTTACATAGGGACTCATAGACTTGGACTCAGGCTGTATCATTTAAGCTGCTAAGGCCCCGTCGCGCCAAGCAGCTCTGTTGTCACGATGACCATGGCCCCAAGATCGTGGGGCAGTGGCCGCGGTTACCGGACATCATCGCAGGGAGGAGGGAACGTGCAAACCAACCAGAGCAGCAGCAGCAACAACAACAACAGCAGCAGCAGCAGATTATTCACAATAAACCCGCCGCCGTCAGAACTTCTCACTTGCAGCACGGATCTACAACACCGCTTACTCGGCAAAATACTAAACACTAAAAAAACCCCAATCTTACACTGGCCTGCGTTTGCCCTTGCGACCAGACGGGACCCGCACCTCTCTTGGCCATTTCTCTGCGCCCACATCCTTTATGAGCCCCCCACTTTGTGGTTGTCAGCGACGCGGACTGCCGCTTGAAAGTGAGTTGTAAAAGTTGCATCGTTTCCCTGCAACAGCAACGAGCATAACAATTAATATACACCCGAGCATAAAACAATACACACACGGGCATAAAACAATATACACACGAGCATAAAATAATTGCAAGTCAAATAGCATGCACATTGCATCAGAGGGCTGGCCATAAACGGGAATCCAACTGGGGTTATTGGTTTATAAGCGCGATGTGCTCACCACTACGTTACCAATTGCCACAGACGTGGTCTGTGGTGATTGGTAACGTAGTGCTTTTCTTGCGTAGATAAAACCACACAATGCAACCTGCATTGGCCCAAAATATCCCAATGCCGAAAGATTACCCACAAATTATTATATTGATATTACACAACGCAACATAACCCAGACCCCCCCCCCCTCCACCTTCTGCGAAGACCTGGCAGGACCCTCCTGAAAAAAGTGTTTTTTTTGTTTTCTGGGTAAACCGGTGGAGTAGCAAACCAGGACTCTTCTTGGCTGAGTGGCATTTCTCTGTCACTGCCGTGGCAGAAGCCGTCTGGAACTCACTCTCCCAATGCACAGCAGTAGCAGCACCATCCACATTCAAGCTGCAGCTCAAGGCTCTCACCCTGTTCCAGGCTCTCACCCAGACCAGGCTCTTGCTAGTCCAGGCCGGCTTACGAGGAATTTTGAGCTCTGGCTTCGCACCTCCGAGTTCTCAATCAAACGTTGTGATGTCCCGTCCGTGAAAGAATCACCATTATTATTAATATGAATAATAAACAGGAATATGATTATCGATATAAATATTGAAGCAGGAGCGTGTTTGGTGCGCTCATCCCCGCAGGGCCCATGCCACGCCCTCGCCTGCTCGACTGGGCCAGCTGCCCTCCGCACCTGCGCTTCAACAAGTTCGTGCTGGCCGGGTACCGGCCGGTCTCCACCGGCTCGGACTGCCTCCACAGCCTCTTCTACCTACACAACGAGTCCGGCAACATCTACAGCCACGGTAACGACGACGGTCCCTCCACACCCCCCACGGTACCCCCCCCCCGTTCACCTTCATCTTACTCCCTGAGATGCAGGAGGTTTCTACTGAACTCCTAGAGCCCACAGCATGGATGTTAGGAATAATCCCACAGATCCTTTGGATCATGAATGTTTTCGTTTTGGGTTTTGAGTATATCCACCAAATGAATCCTAAGGATGGTAAATAATCTTTCTTTTGGGTTTTTAAACGCGGCATTTTAAGAAGGAAAAAAATGCTTTGTAAGATTCACAGCCCTGGCCTGGTGCAGCCATCGGCGATGACCGGCAACCCCCACGTGAGCCAGGCTTGTGTCTGGATGCTACGAGCTTGGCTCACAAGCGTGGGAGCTCCCCCACCCATGGCACGGATCGCACACGCTGGCCGCCTCCCGGCAGCTCCCTCCTTCCACCAGCAGCAGTGGAGTGAGCAAGACATTGCAGGGCTGTGCCCCTTTACCCTCTTACGTAAGCCACAGATCGCTCGTCACAAGAGTGTGGAGGAGTGCCCTCCAGCGTTGGCGAAGGACGCTGCTGCTGCTGCTGCTGGTAAAATAAAAAGTTGAGTTGCGTTTTTAGTTTATCTACCGGTCATCTCAGTCAGTCAACCCACGGCACCTGGGTCTATCCCGTGACCTCCTGCCAGCTGGCGTTCGACACTTCACGTGGCCTTAAAGTGCACATAGCCTGGCGCAATAGCCGTGGTGACGTCAACACCACTGAGTGCCGAATGGTAGGTGTTGTCGTTGGAGTAACCGGAGTTACGCGACCGCGGTGTCTCCGACGAGACAGTTCCTTGACGTGGCGTGGTTCAGGTCTTGCGCCGGCGTGGAGAGCGAGGGATTTACGTGAACACGACCCACTCGTGATATGTTGGGAGCACGATTGTGATCCTACTGGTCATGACGTAAAAAAAAAAAAATATGCACGCATTTTCATGGCAGGTTGTGACATGCGGCCCACCGCCGGACGACGGCCTCCCCGAGCTTCGTCGCCCACGGTGGCTGTCGGTTTTTAAAAAGGCCCCAGCATCCAGCATTGGTGCCTGGAACATGTCCCAGAGGCGCGACTCTCCGTCGCGTCACCTTCGTTCACATTTTGTTCCATTCAAGGGCCACCGACGGCTCCATGCAAGCAGCCGGCGTCGCCATGGATCGCGCGGGCCGTGTGACTGCCCTGGGGCCTCCTGGACCAAAGGGGCCAGGGTGCCAGCTGTAGGGAGGGGGCGGAGGCGTCTGTTGATTGGCGATGGGTTTTTTCGCACCGTCTCCGCTGCGCCGCTCGCGTGCGGTGCCGCGGCCGAGCCTTGGCGAATTCAAAACAGCGAGTGTCCTCCGATCGACCGACCCTCCCAGTTCCGTGCCGAGACTCTTGCGGCACACAGGACGCGTCTTCTCGCCGCCTCTCTCGTCAAATCACAGCCGCTCGGGCACCTCGCCACGTCGTGCCGGTTATCCGGCCATACTTTGTCACGCCGGTCGGTTGCGGTGCTCGCGAAGAAGCAGGGCCACTGGGTATAGGTTAAGACGTCGGCGGCCACCGATGTTAACCGCGGCCGGGAGTGGAACTCGCGGTGCACCAACTGCCATGCCACCAGCCTCGCCCCGGGTCTGTACTATTGCGTAATCGCGCGTCTCATTGTCCGCACATGTGGCTGCCTCTATTTATACCCACAAGGGCAACGGGGCATGCCAGTACAGTGCTGCTTTCAGACGCCTTGGCAGCCCGGACGACACAACACCCCCGCAGCCAGGCCGACCTGCACTCTCGTTTTTGTACGAGTAAATGTACGGCCCTTTTACCAATCCACTGCTGGATGAGAACCTCCCTGTGTGGTGCTGGTTGCGGAGGTTACCTCACCGTACTTCACCGTGCTGATTAGTGCGGGTTGGTGAAGGTGGGGAACATAGACGTTGGAGCGTAGTACAGTACAACGGTGGGTTTTTCTGCACTCAACTCTGCTGACATCGCAGCAGCAGTCTACAGCGCCTGTTATGCACGGTGGTGGTCGCCCATCCAAGCTCTATTGATGCTGTTAAAATCCTGCTTGGCTTCTGCGACCTGTCGCTATCGGGTGCATTGCTGTGGCTCTGTTGGCTCTCGAGAACCAAAGAAACAACGACAAATGATCTGGTGACGCCGCTGCGTTGGCAGTGGTGGCACAAGCACGGTCATCTAATAAACCCAACACGTTCCTCAATATAACGCCGCGTGGCCTCTAAAAGGCAAACATGTAATTGGCGTCGTTTCGGGCAATGGCCCTTGTCCACAGAACAGAGAGACGGAGAGTGGCCGCCCCACCGCTTTGCCTCTCTGCGCGCTGTGCACGAGGGAAGTTACCCCAGAACGTCACCGATTGTGAAACGGCGACAGACTGCGGAAGCGTGCGGTTGAGCGTTGCCAACGGATGCAACGTGGACGTTATTAAGTCTGTGAAACGTGACGAGGATGTGGGAGCAGGTGTCACGTAATGGCTGCGTGCGTGCGTTGCGCTGTACGCGCCACACACAACCGTCCGACCGGCATCGGAGTAGCGCAGCACCGAAGGGAGCGATGCGTCCGCGCAGCAGGGGAATAACGCTCGATTAATATTTCACCGCACGGGAACGCGACGAGGCTGCGTCCGCTTGCCACGAGCGTACCAGCATGCCTACGGACACCTAATCAGTGGGAAAGAGATACAGCGGGTCTGGTGAAATGCTCTCCAACTCGCCCTGAAAGTCGTACTCCATCGACTCCGTCCGTCTCCGTGTCTGTCCTTCCGTATTGATACAGTGGCGGCGAGAGAACCCCCGTAAAGACGATACAGCTTGAGTGAAACTCGAGTACAAAGTTGTGTTGCCGTTAGGGACTCGCGCTATTCAAAACCAGACATGTTGATCGAATGGTTACTTCAAACTTGTACGTATGTTGTACTTCTTTCACACCGTACGTAGCAAACCATGCTAATGGGAGGTGCGAGCTTCAGAGATACGAGTCAAGCAGAAGGCGCGACAAGATTTGCAAACACGCAAACGAATTTTTGCCCTTGCCCTGCCCGCTAGCCGTCAGATTACGTACAGCTAATTAAATTATGAAATGATTGTGCAAAATGCACGCTGATAAGCGTTACCGATCCATGGTGCGCACGGTAATAATAATGATGATGATAATTTCGTATGGCTATGTTGCGCAACTATGAGAGATTTGGTCCGAAGGGCGCAGCGATAGCGAGATGTTAACTACCTCGCATGGTATACAGGAGGTCGTGCGTTCGACCCTGACGCCTGCTGCATATTTGGAGTTTGCGTGTCTCTCTCCCCGTAGTCGCGTGGATTTTTCTCCAGGATCTCCGCTTTTTCCCTCCACATTTAGAAACATACTTTTAGAGTATTTGACTGCTATCAATCTCCACACGACAAGCAACTTTGTTGAGCTGTCATTTTGACAGTCAGGTCGCTTCTGAAAAAAAAGCTATATAGCTCAGTGCGCCTTACCTGGTAAAATAAAAAAAAAATAGTTAGTTGGAAGTGATTTCGCCGTTCAATTGCTTTGTCCGGGAGTTGGCGAACACGTGGGCACGACAGCTCCCGCTCGTGTTTAGCGCAGGACTTGTGCCGTTTGGTGCAGCGAGTCGAGAGGGTGAGGGGGGGGGGCCTTGTCCGCGCCGTGGAATCGAATCGCCCGCCCTGCGTTCCACCCGTGGTGAATTCTGGCACCGTCGTTCAATTAACCGATTGGTCAATTCGTCGGCCGTTTTGATTGCCCCGGTCAATAAATGGGCGCGCGTCTCACCGCGTCGGCAGCGAGGGGACGTCGCTCCGGCCGATGGGCAAGCGCATCGGCAGCGCGGCCGGCGCATCGTCCGGAGAGCTCCGCCCGACACGTGGGGTCGGGGGTGACCCCGCGCGGGAACCCGAGCATCGCGGGCGCCGTCGCGGGGGGTGCGAGTCGTGACGATCCCGATCGCTGCACGGACTGCACGATGGTCTGTGGCGTCATCACGTCCGTGCTCCCCCCCACCGCTGTCCAGTGAGTGTGGTGCAGTACGGTCACATAACCGCCCTCGTCCATCAGCGAGCGGATTGCCGCAAGGGCTTGGCATGTCCATCCAAACACCCAACGGGATCGGCGACAAAACTTGAGGTGAAGGCCGCGTTGAGCATCGGATGGAAGTGGCTCAGAAATGGCGTCAAGGCCAGGGTTCAGTGGTGTGGCCAGGGTTCAGTGGTGTGGCCAGGGTTCAGTGGTGTGGCCAGGGTTCAGTGGTGTGGCCAGGGTTCAGTGGTGTGGCCAGGGTTCAGTGGTGTGGCCAGGGTTGCCTCGTTTGGTGTGCTGCTCTCACGGTCTGGAACTCACTTCCGCACAGACATCTGTGCTGTCGACTCCCTGTTCAAATCCAGGCGTAAGACCTGCCTCTTCTCCTCTGTTTTTGACTGTCTCTTTCTCTCCTTGTTAAGTAAAAAATTTGGTATCCAAAAGATACCAACATCCCCGTGTCTGCACGGCGCCCTGAGACACGGCTGCTTCCATACGCGTTATGGACTCGTGTATCACGTCGAAGACTCGTGTATCGCCTCGTGTATTATAGCAGCAGTGGCCTAGCTGTCGATTGGCACCCTGGTGGTGAGATGTTTATCTGCCTCGCCTGGTATACAAGACGTCGTGGGTTCGATTCCAACCCCGGCACCTGTATATTTGGAGTTTGCGCTGTCTCTCTCTCTGTGGTCGCGTGGATTTTTCTCTGGGTCCTCCGGTATTTCCCTCCATAAATAGAATCAACATCACGTGTTTAGAGTGTTAGTGCTGCTATAAATCTCCACATGATGATAAGCCACTTTGTTGCGCTATCATTTGTGGTATCCAGGTCGCGTCTAAAAAAGAGCTACGTAACTCAGTGGGGTCTTACCTGATCATTACAAAAACACAAGTTTAAAATAGTTACAACAAAAATAGTGTGCACAGGCGGTGCAACAATGACACCACAGCCAACGGGATGGAGAG